TAAGATTTATTAAACCTACTAAGATTTATTAAACCTACTAAGATTTATTAAACCTACTAAGATTTATTAAACCTACTAAGATTTATTAAACCTACTCAGATTTATTAAACCTACTAAGATTTATATGTATTCTAAAAAATGCATCACAAAAAAATTTAAAATTTCTCATTTAAATACGTTCAATACTTCAATACTCAGCATCAATCGCAACATTTATTAATAGTAGATGGCATTTAAAGATGGACAATGTAATGTACAAAAAAAAAAAAAAAAAAAGTTGATATCGAATGATATAAATAGCAGAATAGCAGCATATTTTAATTATTTTTCATATGCATTCTCTTCCTCATTCTCCTCATTCTCTTCCTCATTTTCTTCCTCGACTACTGTAAAATTAAAAATCTTGTTAAGAAAATACTAATTACAAAACAAAAAGACTTAAATATTGAAAAATATTTACCTCCAGTTTCATTAAGATTTCCAAAATCCATAATTCTACATGTATATACAGCTTCAGGATGTATTTGTAATTCACTATCATTAGCTTCATCTTCTTCATCCTGTTTTTTATCCGATTCATCAAATTGTCGTTTAATTTGTTTATTAATCTCATTCCATGTCCAGAATTTATCTCTTAACTCATCGGCTGTTGGTCTTTTTTCAGGATCCCAATGCATGCATTGATTTGCTAATTCAACGTAACATTCTGGTGTATATTTAGAAAATTCTGGACGTAATCCATCACAAATTTTTATTGCAAGTTCCTTATTATGCGGTAAATTGTAGAATGATGGTTTGCTATTTGATATTTCTGCCATTATAACTCCTAAACTATAAATATCTGAAGCTGGTGTATACTCTTGCCCGCATAATACATCTGGTGCTATATAAGGTAACACTCCAAAAATACGATAATTATCTTTCTGATTTGATCTTTCTACTAAACTCGCATGAACATTGGATAATCCCAGATCGGAAATAGATGAAACAACTGTATCTCTAACATTATGAGTTTTACATAATATGTTACCGCTATGAAGATCTTTATGCATATATTCAGCTTGATGAATACTATCCAAAGAGTACGCAATGTCTGTTAAAATTTGAAGCCTTTCAGTCCAATCAAGTTTGGATTCTCTGAGACATGTTCGTAGATCTCCTTTATCTGCATATTCGACGACTAACATGTATTCTTGAGTTGTTGGATGGTAGGTTATGCCATAAATACTAAAATATTTTCCAAGTTTGTTTTTAAGACAACTGCAATATTGAAATTTAAACTGAAATTATATGATTTTAAATTAATTTTTATATATGACGAATTATTATTTAATAATAAACAATAGTTATTACTGTATTATTGATAGTTACCTCTTGCAAGAACTCAATTGATAGATTTGCTGATTTTGTTAAAGTTTTTAATGCTACATCAATAGGCCCACTTCTGGTTTGTTTGGCATCATAATCTAAACTATTCAATTTTCTTAACCCATCGATCCAAACTGCACAATACACTGAACTAAAACCTCCTTCCCCAATTTTCTGTACGTCTTTAAGTTTTTCAAACGGAATCCATTCAACAACTTTTTCGTATTCTTCCGTTTTAAACCATAACCCTTCTAAAAAATCATCGATCGCTGGGTTTCCTGAACCTCCTGCATCTTCAAATTCTTTGAGCAACTTTTTAGGATCACATAATTGGCACCAAGCGACGTTCGTATTGTAACGTTTACATACTTTACATTTTCCGTAGGATTTATAACGTTTGAAGTCATCTTTGATGGAAATATCTCTAGATTTTGCATTTGAATTACCCATTGCTTTTTGTAAAAATCAGAAAATATTTAGAAAAAATTTATGGTGAGAATAAAAAAGAAAAATCAGATCATATATGCGTATTTATATATTTATTCGCCTCAAATGGCTGTTCTAATTTGATCACTGTAAAAAGTAAAACCCCCTGGAATATCTGACTAAATTACGCATGCCTGCCTGCATCGGTATTGATATTACCGATACGTGCGTACCGTGCGTGCGTGAGTGCATTGAAAAAATCTATTGGTTCTGGTTCAGAATTAGCCCGGAGAGATGGAGTACAAGCGAAAATCGCCCTCCGACCCTAAAATTTCTGGTCCGGAACCAATAAAAACTCAGGATCTTGCGTAACAGAAACAAACCGCGAAAACAGTGATAAAAGTTACTTATATATTATTTACTTGTATCGGATTGATGTATAATACTTGAGATACTCCAACCTAAGTATTTGGATCGGAAGGGTCCGATTTTTGCTTGACATAAGGGTACCCGAGAGGAGAGGGAAATGGTCACACATCGATCGATGCATGGAAAGATTTGATCCGATTAAGTTCTTTAATGCATACTGCATCTGCCACGGGCTTTGGCTGAAGCAAAAGATATGTATTCTATTCATGGAACACATATTGCCTTGCATTAATATCCTTTTCTACTTCTAGCATTTGTATACTGATACTAATATTGCTTATTTCCATCAAGGTGCGTCGGGGTGTGCGTAAATCAAAACTATATGTGGTCATAGTGATTGTACCCGTCCTAAAAAGTACAACCCGGGTTACCCGGGTAGACTGACGGGTCTACCCGGGTACAAAGATTACCCGTCAAAAAAATTAAATATAAGCTTATATGTAGGATTCGATCATCGATTTTGCATTATATATGATACATTTCTACGATAATTTTAACATTATAAAATGTCAGCACGTTCAATATTACTAAAGTTTCGTTTAAATACTTGCCCAACATGTTTAGTGCTGTAGTGTGTTTAATCTGTGCGAAAACATATATATTTCAAATTACAATGTAATTTATATGTATATAACGTAACATAAATTGTAATTTATATGTATATAACGTAAAATAAATTGTAATTTATTGTTATGTATCGATCATGCCGAAATCAATCACTTAACCGGATCGGTCAAAAAACCATTCAACAAATTTTTATCAGGTGTTTCAGAAACCATGAAAACACAGCGGGTTGGCTCACGGATAGACCTCGAGGTAGGACCGTCCCAAATTAGGATATGATGATCCCGATCATGCATATTAGATTTAGCCAATAAAATCATAAA